TGACTAGACCACACTTGCTGAGGAAGACCAGTGATGGGATAGTAAAAGTTTCAAGTGTACATCTTTCAGATTACTGTGGAGAGAGAGAGAGGAGAGAGAGAGAGAGAGAGAGAGAGAGAGAGAGAGAGAGAACATGGTAAGGATTAAAAGCAAGGGGTTCTTCACACCAAACTCCTAATGAAGTCATGCCCCTGTAGTTTATTTCCCAGTGTCACCTTTTTCAATCTTTTTATCAATTTTCCAGACTAAGGCTGCCCCAGGGATTATTTTTTTTTGGGGGGGGGGGTACTCTTCTATCTAAATATTAACTATTTGTATGAATTAGCCAATGCTGTTTTGGCATTAGCATTCTCAAGATCCACCAAAATTGCTTTGTGCTGCCATCTGCTGTGACATATTAGGAATATTTAAACATAACATATTAGGGAAATTTGCAGATTTTTGTTTGTTTATCTCTGGTTGTGTTCATATAGGAGATTTGCCTTGATTATGGAATTTATCTAGTTTTGGAATTTGCATGATTCATCACATCATAAAGTAACCAAGCAGGCTACAGTTGTACAACACACACTCCGCTTAGGGAAAGAGACCTGGGAGATGAAATCAGACAAACTATCTGACTGCTAGGTTTTAATTGACCTATTAAACATGTTACATTAGCACAGCAAAGTGAGTGTTAGCAATTTGCATTTGTTTTTCACAAGATAGACTATACCTATTGACACAAGCAAGAGGTAGCCTCATTAACATATACCTAATATGCATACGGGCACATACATCTTGTGTACATTTGTGCGTTCATCCTTTCACAAAATAAGTATCTGTTTCAATATAATATGGCTTTGCAGTGCTGCAGGTCTTCATATGCTTACCCACCTCTCAATGTAATTGTATCCAACACATATTAGAGCATCATTTCAATCCTAGCTGGAACTTTAAACAACACCAAGAGCCATTAAATAAATATTGAACTAAAGAAAAATGAACTCTCCATGGTGTCAGCTGAAATCGGCAGAATTTTGCAAAGATGGGCATTTTGATGGCATAACAATAATATGTAGTTGACACACATACAACATACAATCCCAAAATGGTAGTTACCTACTTTCTCAGACAAAAAGCCACTACATTTTACTCTTATTAAACTTCTATTTTTAATGAATATTTTTCCCAAGGAAAAGAAGAAAGGGGATCATCAGTTTTTTACATCGAGTAAATTGATTTGGAAAACATAAAGAGTTTTTGCTTAGAGGGAGTGTGGATTTCACAGCATGAAACAATGTTCATTCAGGTCTAGCTCATCAGCTGAACAAGACTCTTAACACTCAGAATTAGTTAAAATCAATAGGCAGGAAAATAGCATTCTCTTTTGCTCCCATGCTATTACTAGTGGCTCTGTCACTCCCACCACTATTTCCCTTTTGAAAGTGCATAATAGTCACCATTTAACATGCTACAGAACCTTTATCTGCTGACAGTCACATGCTAAAACTGTAGAAGTAAAATGTAGCATCATATTGTGTGAACTACTGTGAGCATTGTGTCCCAAGGCAAAGCAAAAGTGACAGCACCAATGACAGAAGGACAGACGAGGTCACTGAACAGGTGAGCAATCAAAGTTGAGGCCATGTAGGTCATTCATGAATGTCACCAAGTTCAGACCCTCAACATTATTCAACAAGTTAATAGAAGCTAACATATAACCTCAGAAGAGGAGGTTCCTTGGTAAAAAAGGAAAGATAACAAAATCATGAAGAACCCACCCACCCCCAAAGTTAGACTCATTGTTAGATCTCCTTGCATCAACTTAACTCAAAGAACTAAAGAAAGGTATGACTAAAATGTACATGTAGGTAAATGGAAGAAATTGTGAATGAAAGAGATTACTAGATGAGGTATGCATGGCATTTTTGGACAAAAGAATCAAGAATGTTGTTGTGAATATTATGGAGCTAGATTTGGTAGACAAATTTAAGTAGAGGACATTTTACAATTATTCTTCCCAAATAAAGCCTATAAGTGTTGGGAGGCAAACTATGTTAGTTATATCCTCATGCTCCATTGAGTTGATTCTTACACAAAGGTATCTGGAATGTGCAGAATTCAGTCTGCTAAATTTAGGAAGACCAGAGGGGATTCTTTGATTCTGGTCAGTGGACTTATTCCTGCACAAGGCCAAACAAGAAGGTTATGTGCATGAGGTCCTAAATCCAGTTGGGCACAACAGTTACTGTTTTGATACTTTTTCTGCTTCAAACCTGGTCAACAGCGTGGCTTTCTGAGGAATTATGGGAGGTGAAGTCCATAAATCATAAAGTTGCAGAGTTTGGAGACTCCTGTTCTAGCGGATTTGGACTAACAGAATTATAGGGTTGAAATGGAGGCTTCTAGTCCAAACCTCTGTTTAGGCAGGAAACCCTATGCCAGTGGTTCTCAACCTTTCCAATGCCGTGACTCTTTAATACAGTTCCTCATGTTGTGGTGACACCCCAACCATAAAATTGGTGTCTTGGTTCCTAAGACCATCAAAAATATGTGTTTTCCAGTGGTCTTAGGTGACCCCTGTGAAAGGGTCGTTTGACCCCCAAAGGGGTTCCTACCCACAGGTTGAGAACCACTGCCCTATACCATTTTAGACAAATGGTTGTCCAATCTCTTCTTAAATACCTCCAGTATTGGAGCACCCACAACTTCTGGAGGCAATCATTTCATGATTAATTGTTCTAACCATCAGCAAATTTCTCCTTAGTTCTAGGTTGCTTCTTGCCTTGATTAGTTTTCATCCATTGCTTCTTGTCTGACATTCAGGTGCTTTGGACAATAGGTTGATCCACATCTCTTTATGGTAGACCTTTAGATATCGGAGCACAGTTACCATGTCACCCCCTAGTCATTTTCATTAAACTAGACATATCCAATTCCTGCAACTTTTCTTCATATGTTTTAACTTTTGGTCCTCTAATCAATCTTGTTCTTCTTCTTTGTACACTTTCCAGAGTCTCAACATCTTTTTTTGTATCACTCTGACCAAGACTGGTCCCAGTATTCCATATGTGGTCCTACCAAGGCACTATAAAATGTTATTAATATGTTGCATGATATTGATTCTATCCCTCTGTTAATGCAGCTTAGGTCTGTGATGGCATTTTGGCAGCTGAAACACATTACTGGCTCATATTTAAATGTTAGTCAACTAAAGCTTCAAGATCCCTCTTATATTTACTATTATTGAACTAGGTACAGGGGTGGGTTTCAACCGGTTCGCGGCGGTCCCTGCGAACCAGTTGGTCGGCGAACCCGGAAGTAAGTAACTTACGNACACAAAACAGCATCTTCAAGAATCTGCCACTTTTCTTAAAATGCATAGCACACAGAGAAAAGAGGCAGGTCTTGATCACAATGCAGCATTTTTCATCCTGCCTTCCTGCAGACATCCCTGAAAATACTGTGTATTCATGGTTTTTGACTATCACTCAAGGGCTGGAATTTACAAAGATGAATCGTAACTATTTTGTATGGGAGGGGGAAACTATTTCACAATGAATCAGATCACTCATCCATTTAGGCCAATACTGTCTCCTCTGACTGGCAGCATCTCTCCAGGGTCCCAGTTAGGATCAATCCTTGTCTTTAACCTAAATTATTTTAATTAAGACGCTCTCTTCACTGAGAGGGCAAACTTCCCAAAGCCTATGCTCCACAGATTGATCTGAATCACAATTCCCATCCTCCCTGACTGTCTGTTCTGACCTAGGCTTCCCAAGAGCATGAAGCAAACTCCTTGCCCTGACAAAAACCCTTTATTAATTTACTGTGAATTCTGTTCATTCACATCCAGCAAAGTCTTTCAAGGGAGGATTTACAGTCACAGACCTTATCTGGCTTGAGAGCTGCCAGGCCAATACCTGCAAAACTTGGCAAGGAGTCTCAGAGAGTCACAAACCAATTAAGCAAACTAATTGTCTCCTGCAAACTCCACTCCCCTTTCACTCCCCTCTTATTTCCTCTGGGAGGGGCCATTCATCGTCCAACTGTGGCCTTACTCCCAAGTCGACCCCCGTTCTGTAGCTGTTCCCTTTGTTTGGCAACTCTGCGCATGCGCACACTGGGAAAAGGCTCCAGTTGTTTGTCTGCCTCAGTGATGTCTGACTCTGAAGGCAGCTGATAACAGGCATACGGCTCTGCCCCCCTCTCTGCCTCCGACACAGAGCTCTCATCAGAGACTTCCCAAGATTCCAGGACTGGCCCATGTTCCTCCCCAACCTCCTTACTGTCCAAATCTGCTGCCAGCTCTGCTGGCTGGTGGCGGGCCACCACACTATCATAACAATGGCCATGCCAGCCATTAGTGAGTGAGTAGAAGTCCTACACTTCAAGAGAGTACCAGATCGGGAAGGCATGGTATTTAGGACAGGGCTTGTTATAGTGAGATCTCTGGCAACACATGCATGCATTTATTTGTTTCATAAATTTCATTTATTATCATTAATAAATTCATTTTTTGAACATATAGTGAGCAAAGGCAACAAGAAGATATTTTACCAAGAACACTTCCAAGAAACTTATTTTAATTTTGGAATGACCACTGTCATCGGTGTCCACTGGAGAGCAAATGAATAACACATGTATGACTCTGTTACACAAAGGAAGTAGGTGCATCAGATCTCATGGTAACATGAAAAGTCCGCGCCATAAGGTCAAGTCACAGAGTTTGACATTTTGATGTCATCATAGTTTGTTTTAGATGCAATTGATCATTGACATGATCTATGTTTGCATACCATTTTTATTTATTTAAATTCTAATTTTTTGAGTGGGAACTTGCAAAAGGTGTAAGTTATCTGAAAGCATCCATACTGCATTCAAAACATTGCTGACCTGAAGTAATTTAGGTCCAGCATATCTGAGAGACATGTGAGGAAATTCCTTCTGGCTGTTGAATGAAATTATCCTATAGTGAGTGACAGAAGAGAAATGAATATCTTCACAACAATTATCAAACAGCATAGTTCATTCTTTATAAAAGTAGAAAACTGTATAAAGGTTCAGATGACCTTGAATCAGTTCTATTTTCTCTCTTCTTTATGTTCTGAATTAGAACAAGATGGCAGGGTACTTTCTTCATAGACTTCTCCAACCTTAAGCCAAGATTCTGAAATGGAGTATGTTTTTAATACATCCAAATATAGTAAAAAGTCTTGTAAGCAAGTAGGTATCGGCAACTGGCGGATGTGCTGGTCTGATCGCAAACAAACACTTGTTAAAAGTGAGCGAATCTCCAGGCGGCACAGATGAGACAAAGATGGGATATGATCTGTCACAAGAAAGAAACATGCATTGATCAGAAGCAAAACAACTGAGTGTTTCATAAACCTTCTGCTTCAGTGTCAAAGGCCTTGCAGAGGGAGGCCAATACCTTTGCTGACTCAAGAATTACACTTGGCTTCTGAGGGGTATGCCCCAGGCTATACACCACAGAGTAACAGTCCAGAGCAAAATTAGTTTTTATTTCATTTAATTCCAATATATATAGCAAATAATTATTGACAATTAATGTAATGTAATAATTCTATTTTTCTGTCACATTAAAAATTATCACTGTTACCAACAATTTTTGGTGTTCTGGGTGACATGGCCAGGACTTTGGGGAACTGCTGGTTTCACTTCTGTAGTTTACAAAGAGAATAACAAGATAAGGGGCCTCATAGAAAACTTCTAGTCTTGAACTGATGTATTCCTTCATGAATTGAAGGACCTACTCTTAGTCTCAGCCATTCTTTGACTTTGTCTCTCTTGAAGGTACAGACAATCTTCTGGACTGGTACCTGGATTTCCTACTGTATACAATAAAATTTGTATATTTATATTTCCTCTTTGATAATGATAGGAAAAAGGGGGTTGTTAATTATTTACTGAATAGGAAATCCTTGACTTTCTCATGCCTAATCTTCAAAGAAAGCTACATTCAGGACTAAAACAATAAGAATAAACAGTGTTTTAAAATTAAATTAAATAAGATCAAAGGACAGCCATTAACAAAGCAGGGCAGATTTAACTCAGGACCTGAAATAAGGGTAAGCAGTAAGCCTAAGTGTTGAGACAGCAACTTTTCTTTTTTCCTTCTTTTTCAATCAGGTTTTCTGATTTATTTCTCTATTTCATATATATACTATATGTGGGTGTAGCATGTGTGCAGATGGATGGGTGGGTGAGTGGGTGGATGGGTGGGTGAGAGGGAGGGAGGGATAGATTTAGATGTGTAAAACTTACATGTCCAATGTTTTTAAATATGGAAGAAAACAGAACTGAAACTTCAGATACCAGGCTCAAATATAAGTTGAAATAAGCCAACTAGGAAGAGATTTGATGACTCGCTTCAAATACCTGAAGATATTCACATAGGAGAAGGCTATTATCCATCGTCCCAGAGAGTATGATACAATAAATGGATTTAAATTGAAAATTATAAAGCTAACAATATTTTGATGACTGGGACCAATTACTGAAAGAGGTGGTAAGCTCTGGTTCACTGGATATGTTCAAGTAGGAACTGGATAGGCATGTAATATGAATGCTTTAATCTAAATTCTTGCACTGACCGAAGGACTGGATGGCCCCAAAAGCTTCTTCCAATTTTATGAGGATTGGAAAAAATTTGCACTGAAAGAAGCTATGGAAAATATTTACACTGGTTGGAAGGAAAAGGAAAAGGAAAGGGAAAGGGTGCTTTAGCTAACATTCTCAAATAAACAGGCTCATGTTGAAGAACAACTTATTTCCAACAGTTTTTGGTTACAAAGAAAACAATAAGGAAGGCAAGAATCTTTATGGATTGATCAAAAATATTTTAGCCTTCAAACAAGTACATTTGTTAAGATTTTTCTTCTGTTTATACAGAAACTGTGGGAATGCTGATTGGGAAGCTACTTTGCAGAGCTGTTACACACCCCAAAGACACAACTTTACATATAGTCCTTGACTTACTATCACAATTGAGCCCAGGATTTAAGCCATAAGCCATTGCAATTCCTAAGTGAGATGCCCACGTGATCACCTTACTCAAAAACTACAGTCCTGATTCTACTTGTTGGGGTGATTAAGTGATCCCGTGGGTCATTAAGCAGAGCAAAAAACTTACCTGCCAAAGGGGGAAGTGGGGGTCAGGCAGTTCCCCTCTGTCAGCAGAAGGAAACTGTAGCACTGGGCTGGAGAACTCCATTCAGAAATCCAAGCAGGATTTTGGCATGAAGTGTTTGCAGTATGGTGCATTTGGAGCCAGCCCCCAGAAATGAGGGAATCCTCTCATTTCTGGAGGAAAGCTGGATGCAAATGGCTTATGCTTTAAATGCCCTTGGCAAAATCCTGCTTGTTTGAACTTATTTATTTTATTTCGTTTGTCAAACATGTAAACAGGTATACGTATAAACATAAATATGAACACAGTAAATGGGTACGGATATATGGAGGATAGGACAGGGACAGTAGGCATGCTGGTGTGCTTATGCATGCCCCAACAGACTTCTTAGGAATGGGGTGAGGTCAACAGTAGACAGTGTAGGGTTGAAAATATAGGCGTTTGGGGATGTAACAATAGAATCAGGTAGTGTATTCCAGGCATTGATCACTCTGTTGCTGAAGTCATATTTTCTGCAATTGAGTTTGGAGCGGTTTACCTTGAGTTTGTATCTATTGTTTGCTTGTGTATTATTGTGGTTGAAGCTGAAGTAGTCATTGACAGGCAGGATGTTGTAGTAGATAATTTTGTGTATTATACTTAGGTCAGACCGTAAACGGCGTAGTTCTAGTTTTCCAAGCTCAAAATTTCAAGCCTGGTGGGATAGGGTATTCTGTTGTGAATAGAGGAGTACTCTTCTCGTAAAATACCTCTGGAATCTCTCAATTATATTAATATCCGAAATACAAATGGTTAAGCCCTCCCCGCCCTCCAAAGCATACACTAACCAATTCAAATGGAAAAATTTGCATAGGAAGCAGAAACTTGGATGGAGTTCACAGCAGGCTGAGGTGGGCTGAAGATATAACATAATTCATTCTTCCCTCTCCACCCCAGCACAAAGACAAGCAAACTTGTCTTTGTGCTGGGGTCCAGACTCAGACCATCCCAGCTTTCCCATTCCTGAATATAGGGAAAAATTTGGCTTACTTTAATTCTAGGAGCAAAATTAAAAAGAAAACTGCAAAAACTGTACACTAAGTCTAGAAAAACAGTTCCTTCCGTGTACTCTATAACTTCAGATTTAACCTACTGGAATCCCAGTTAGCAGGAAAGAACAAAAGTGAAGCAGGAGAATAGATGCCTCACATAATGTTCATTCAGAAAAATCATGGTTTAAAAACCTTCTGGAAACCCAGAGATGGAGCACCCACAACTTCTGAAAGAAACTATTCAGATTAATTGTCCTGTCAGGAAATGGTGGCAGTAAGAATTGTTATCAGTTACCCCAAAGTTGAAGGTGAGGGCTGGCATAAAATTCCTACCTTCTGGTTTCAATTCTCACCCATCCACCCGTCTACCATCAGTTGGATCTTCTACACAGGTATATACAAAAACATATTTTGTGTATCTGTCTCTCTATGTATACATGTACACACACAACATATGCACACTTTCAGAGAAAAGGGAAATATTCAGGATTGGCTGCAGCTGGAATTCACTTTACTGAAAACATGAGGAAGAACACAGTGCACAGGAGCTTTAAATGGTGATCATGCATAGATATGCACATATTCTTTGGGTGTTCATCTTAAAACCAAGGTCCATATGTGTATANGGTTCGGGCGCGTGACCAGCCTGGGTTGCTGCCGGTTCTGCCATCCAGGCCAAAATATCACTACCGGTTCGGCTGAACCAAGTCAAACTGGGCCAAACCGGTAGCAACCCACATCTCTCTCACGCACACACACGCACACACACACACACACAATCAGTCCCATCAATTCAACATGCTAAATTTTAAGCCAGGGATAGCAAAAGAGGAATGGTCTTGTATGTTATGTGAACATACTATTCCCTCCCAATAAATCTTATGGTATGCTTGTTTCATACAGTGCTTTGATTGTGGTTGAGTTCCCACAATACTCTAAATCACACATTTTAGTCTAGTCCAGTGTAGAAGTGAACTCACCTATGAAGCGCCACATGGGAGATCCAAAATGGATGATTTTACACCTGCTTTCTTTTTCTCTATTTTACCTGCTAAAAATCTTCCACTTGTATAGATGATACTTACCCTTGTACATAAATAGTAATTAGAGGTGAAACTGGCATTAAAGAATTCAAAAGACCGACACACCAACCCATTTCACCATTAGATTTAATCAGACATTAGCTATACACAAATGCATCTGTGCATATATTCTTTTTAGTGCATTTTCGGTCTATGGACTTCTCCCAATGTCTTATCAGACAGTGGCGGAGCTCCAATTATGGAATTATTCATTCAGGCACTCATAAAACAGCAGGGTTTGTAGGATTACACTTTTGACTGTTATTTTGGGGAGCTGTTTTTGTTTTGTATCAGTTTTTACACATTCTGTACCTAAACATTATCAAATTTTATTTAAGAGGTTTTTGGGAAGAACATAGAAATCAAAGAAAAAGAAAAATAGTAAAGAGTGGAAAAAAACCCCATTTCTATCAATAAGGAAAGTAATAAACATTATTGATGCACATTTGAAAAATATGCACACGTAAACCCAGGGATGGGATTCTGGCAAACTGATAGTTGCGGTAAACAGTGGAGAGCGAACCTGTTCGGGCCCACTTGCCCACCCAGCTCCATATCTGTTTTTATCGGGAAACAGCGAACTAAGCACACACACGCAACCTGCATACATGTGATCGCCGCCGTCCCTACTATGTAATCAGCTGTTCATCACAACAATGGGTAACTATGCATGCATGCAAAGCAAACCGATTGTTACACCAGTAGGATCCCACCCTGCATACACATCCCTTACATGGCCTTCTGCCATTCAAACCAACCCTCCATACAAAACATGTAGTAACAATAAATAGCTTTTAAAGATTACAGCACCACTGTGCAAGCAATAGTGATTTTCTAGGCTAATTATGCCATTAATTTCCAGTCATTTTCCAACAACCTTTCAATTATATTACCGGGTCAATAACTGCCCCACACCTCATTGACACCTCTGTGTTGTATTTCTTTAATCAAAGCAATGCATTAATATGGGGAACCCTACACAACTGAAGACCTTTATTGACTTGACATAAAGAGTTTGTGAAATTTATTCCCTGGCCAAATGTTGAACATTCCTCAGCTGCAAGAA